TTTTTTTTTTTTTTTTGGTACTGGGTATTGAACTCGGGTCCTTGTGCTAGCGAGGCAGGCGAAAGGTGGACTTTCTTAACAAACAGCGTTGCTTGGTTCAGCCCTTTCCTGGCCATGCACACTGTCCTCTTAGCTGAGTACATCCTCCAAGGTGCAATGACCTTACTAGTGGGGCCCAGGTGCAGGAGGGTGTGGGGTACTAGGCCTTCTGCTCAGTGCTGCCCCCTGTGGTGGGAAGCTGCACCACAATTGCCTCTGTATGCTGGAGGCATAGGTGAGGCCTCTGGTTAGATGCAACTCTTTTTTTTTTGGTACCGGGGATGGAACTCGGGTCCTTGTGCTTGCCGAGGCAGGCTCCGGAACCACTAAGCTAATCCCCGGCTCTAGATGCAACTCTTGCATGGAATCATAGTAATGATTACCACTGCGGCCAGGTTTTAGGCTGTTTGTCCTACATTCCTGTCACATTTGGACCTTAGGAGGACCTCTTGAAGGAAGCCCTGTTGTCTTTCCGATTTTAGGCACAGGAAATTGAGGCTCAGAGATCATTCCAGCTGCCAGAGGTAGTGCTGGAACACACACTCAGTCCTCTGCCTCCCTATCTGCCGTGTGTCCTGGGTGGCACATTGCCTGCCTTTTCTTCTTTGCTATGGCTCAGATCATTCTCATCCCCAGGGCCCAGGGACTGCCCTGGAGGTCCTGGTTGAGGGCTCCTGTCTTGTGCCCCTGGCTTCTGGGTATGTTTTGGCTTCTGCCTGGGACTCAGAGATCTATGGCCTCCCTCCCTGGGTCTTTCTGCCCTGACCATCAGCCCCTGGTGTACCCCAGCTCTCCCCATCCCTGCACCCCTACAAAATGCAGCACTGGTTGAAGCCCCAGCAGGCTTTGGAGCTCTGGCTTTGGGAACAGAAACGCAGGAAAGGGAACTCTTCCGTACTTGGGGCTAACAGGATGGAGATCTGCATCCTAGAAGCCACTGACTCGGCTGGGGCTGACCATGCACACGGAGAAGAGACGATATCATGATGACTGATGTCCACCCTTAGAAGTGGACTGCTCAGCTGTCACATGGCCAGCCTCCTCCTCCCCTGGGTAGGCTCTGTCCCCAAGCCTGGGACACAGGCCCATCAGCCTGATCAGAGTGGGGAAGTCCTCCCTTGTGCTCAGACCAGCTTGGCCTGGACTGGCCACGAGGAGCCTCATTTTCACCCTCTACTTCCGAGCATCCACCGGTGGGTAAGGTGTAAATGACACTGAAAGGATTCAGAACTCAAGTTCCCAGATTCCCCCAGGCCCCAAGTGCCCTCTGGTGGTGCAGAGTGGGATCGGGCGCTCAGCAGCATTCTCAACCACTCAGCAGCCCTGGGACAGCCCTGGGCTCTCTGGTCTCTGTCCCTATTCTCTGTCTCTCTGGTGGCTCGTGCCTGACACTTCTGCAGGGTTCCTGTCCTGGCCAGCTCCCACCTCAGCCATGGCCCTGGTGAGCATCATTGAGGAGCATTCTCTTAGGGTTTTGAGACCTGCAAAAGAGTCTATGCCCAGGACATATTTGAAAGCCAGAAGGGTCCGTGTATATATGTGCATCAGACTCAGGATTGCTGAGGCCTTTCAGCCACGGCCCAGCTCCACCCATGTGACTGCTCTTGTGAGAACAGGACTGGAAGTCAGCCTAGGGTCATCCTAGGGGTGCCCCAGCAGGGACCCGAATTTTCCACTGGAGGGACAGAGAGAGCAGCAGCCAAGGATTCTAACCAGACACTGTGAAGGCCATTGTCTGAGGATCTTGCCTCCCACTGTTCAGCAAGGGGGCCCGGTGATCCACAGAACTGATCTGGGTGGGCCCTGCAGCTATGCATGGGGTCTTCTGAGGAAAAGGCACAGTGCCTTGTACTTTAGAGCGGCAGAGCGGTGCCGGTCTCGGATTGCATTTGAGCACAGTCATGTTCTCTTCCACTCTGAGACTGTCACCTCTGTGGTGGCCTCCAAAGAGGTGAGTTGGATAGATGGGGCTTTGGCCAGGGAGACATAGACACAGCACCTTCCCAGGAAGCTCGGATGCTGGAGTTTGCAGGCCTGCCTTTGGCCTTCCCAGCCCCAGGCCTTTGGAATAACATTCACTCTGGACCCCCAGACCCACCAGCAGCCAGCTTGCCACTGCTTTGTAGGGTCAAGCTCTGTAGAATCTGACCCTGATGGTCACTAGCTGCCTTGGAGGCAGCCTGCTTGCCTCTCTCTATGGACGCTTTTTCTTTTCTGACCACAGAGTGAGGCAGGATGGTGATATTCTTGGTGATGTCTCGGATCTTGGTGACAGTCTCTATTTTAACTCTCCTGCTCCTTATGCTTGAAGTGTCAAAAGGGCTGTGTTCTTTGTATTCCTCTGTTTGGGGCACCAGGATTAGGAGGCAGATGCTGTTAGGAGGATCTGGGAAGAGCCCCTTCCTAGCACATCAAGTTGTCTCCCCCAACACTAAAGGCGCTCTGTGTGCCTTTGGCCAGACCTTGGAGAACCCTGGGATCCAGGCAGTCTGTGCTTGCCGTGAATGCCATGGTGCTGCCCATGCCTGGGGCTGTAGGAAGGGATGGATGGGGAGGTGCCATCCAAGTCTGGCCATCCATCACTAGGTTTCTGACTGATTGATTTTTTCTTTCCAAGACTCATTTCCTTGTTTATTAAGCAGGAAAATAATGCCTCTCTCCTATGATTGTCATGAGGATGGTGCTGGCACATAGCCAGTTCTCCATAAATAATGGTAGTTTTTATTGTTTTCACTATGAGTCTAGCCGTAGAATCCAGCCCTGACCTTCACCTCGGCCCTGTTCACAGCTCAGGCTGTCAGTGGGAGAGAGGTGAGCTGGCTCGAGCAATCCAGACTGTCTTAGGATGGCCAGACCAGGGTCTGGGTGGTGGCCGGGGTCAGATCCTGTAGGTAGGAGCCCCTGAACCACACTGCTGGCTGTAAGGCTGCTCCTTTCGGCAGCTGCCTAGGTAGCTTCAACTCCCGGGGACGGAGAGGGGTGTACCCCTTACTCCAAAGCCCCAAGTCCTGAGCCAGAGCTGCCTGGCAGGATCCTACACCTGCCCAGGGTCCTCAGAGCCAGCCACCCCTTGGAGCATGGGGGCCACTGTTTCCCAGCCCTGCCTTACCCCTCTGCCTCTCCCTTCCAGGTGGCCCTGATGAAGCAGATGCGGGAGGAACAGCAGCGGCGGCGGCTGGTGGAGACCAAGAGGAACCGAGAGATCGCTCAGCTCAAGAAGGAGCAGCGGCGACAGGAGGTGAGGAGCCTGGGAGGATCCCTGGAGCTGCAGGCCCAGTTGGGCCCCAGCTCCTGTTGCCCTAAGTGGTAACAGCTATGCTTGGAGTACAGCGTAGCCTGTAGAAAGGGTGGGACCCGGGGGCCCCAGAGAAGGGCAGGCGCCTGCCCAGAGTCACCAGCAACCCAGAAACGTGTGACTATGAAGACCCAGGCTTCCGGCTGCAGAGCTGACCCGCCTGTGCCTGTCCTGGGCAGAAAGGTCATCGGTGCCTGAGGATGGATGGCTCTCTCCTCTTCTCCACAGTTTCAGATCCGGGCCCTGGAGTCCCAGAAACGGCAGCAGGAGATTGTCCTGAGGAGGAAAACCCAGGAGGTGAGTGCACTTAGGGAGTGGTGTGCAGGCCCTTGCCCCTGCGGCACACACGCACAAGTGCACACGCACGCACACACACGCACGCACACGCATGGGTGTGGTGCTCTCATTGCTCTCCAGGGGCCCCAGCTCCCTGGACATGGGATGAGGGCAGCATGTCCCAATTCTGCCAGAGCCGGGAGGGAGGGGAGCCCACCCTGCCTGCGGTGTGGCTTTTCCTTCTGTCATTCAGTGGTCATGGCTGAAGTGTGTCAGGCCTGTGAAAAGCACCTTTCTCAGCAAGAGGGCAGACCGCACACTCTGTCCCCAAAGGCCTGAGCTGATCACTTAAAAAAGAAAAAGAAGCTGCAATCCCTTTTGTGTTCCACTCTGCTCAGACTGGGATCTCTTGGCCCTTCTACACCCCAGGCAGAGGCCCGCACAGAGCCGTCTCCCTCTGGGCCTCCCCACCTGTCCTGCCCTGCCCACCTGTCCCTCTTCCTCAGGTGTCTGCACTGCGGCGCCTGGCCAAGCCCATGTCTGAGCGGGTGGCAGGGCGTGCAGGACTGAAGCCACCTATGCTGGATTCGGGGGCTGAGGTATCGGCCAGCACCACTTCATCTGAGGCTGAGTCGGGGTCCCGCTCCGTCTCCAGCATCGTGCGCCAATGGAACCGCAAAGTCAACCACTTCCTGGGGGACCACCCAACCAACACTGTCAATGGCACCCGCCCGGCCAGGTGAGCTGGGCTGGCGGTGCCCTGGTCCATGTGGGCAGAGGATGGAAGCGTGGTGGACGGGACCGGGGTGAGGGAGAGCGAAGCTCAGGAAGTGCTGGGGTCCCTGGGGCTGTTAGCTCCGGGTGGGGACCGGAGCAGCTGCAGAGGCTAAGAGCAGTCACATCACACCCAGTCACCTTTGCCTCTGCCTCCCAGAAGGAAGTTCCAGAAGAAAGGGGCCAGCCAGAGCTTCAGCAAGGCAGCAAGGCTCAAGTGGCAGTCCCTGGAGAGGAGGATCATCGACATTGTCATGCAGAGGATGACCATTGTCAACCTGGAGGCCGACATGGAGCGGCTCATCAAGGCAGGCGTCCTCCCACCGTCCTGCTCGCCACCTGCCCTCTGTCACCTCTAACTTTTCCAGCCTCTCCTATCCCCTCCTGTTCCATGGGACCCTGAGCAGGCAGCCTGGGGTGGGATTGTGGATAGGGCTGGGAAGCTCCCTGAGGCCTCTCCTCCATCACTGTCCCTCCAGAAAAGGGAGGAGCTGTTCCTCCTGCAGGAGGCGCTGCGGAGGAAGCGTGAGCGGCTGCAGGCTGAGAGCCCAGAGGAGGAGAAGGGGCTGCAGGAGCTGGCCGAGGAGATGGAGGTGCTGGCGGCCAACATCGACTACATCAATGATAGCATCACGGACTGCCAGGCCACCATCGTGCAGCTGGAGGAGACCAAGGTGCCCACAGGACTGGGCCTGACCTGCACCAAGGTGGGAGCAGTGGGTGTGTGAGGCAGCCCAGGTGACAGGGTTCCCTGCCTCCTGCTCGCAGGAAGAGCTGGACTCCACAGACACCTCGGTGGTCATCAGCTCCTGTTCTCTGGCCGAAGCCCGCCTCCTGCTGGACAACTTCCTCAAGGCGTCCATCGACAAGGTGAGTGGGCAGCTGGCCTGCTCAGGGGCCCCAGGGCAGGCGCCTCACACGGAGGAGCGCGGGGGCCTGGCTTCTCCTCATCTGCGTCACTCACAGGCTGGGGCAAGCTGCTAACCGCTGAGCGTTGGATTCCGTAGCTATAAAACTGGGGTGATGACAGTACCAAGCTTGTCGCTGGTTGCAGGGCTCCGACAAGATGATGCATGTAAGGGGCTTGGCACGGCCCTTGGCACATGGCAGGGCCTCAGTTAAAGGTGACCAGCAGGGCTGGGCTTGTGTCTGTTGGAGGTGGAGGGAGCTGCAGTTATACATTAGTGCGGAGGAGCCCAGGGTTTATGGCAGGATGTCAGATGTCCCTTGGGGTCTCTTGGGCTCCTCCCCTCTGTCTCTGGCTGGAGGATGTGCTTCCTGCCCTCCTGGGGCTGCGTCCTGTGGACAGATGCACCTAGTGAGACTGCTCTCCCTCCATGCCTCCTCTCCCTGTCCCCTGTGACTCCTGCCAGCTCTGCCCTGTGTCCTAGGGGACTGTATCAGTGCACCATGACAAAGTGCCCATAGAGCCAAAGCTGGGAAGCCCAAGGTCAAGGTGTTGGCAGGGGTGGTTTCTTCTGACGCCTCTCTCCATGGCTGTAGGTGGCTGCTGTCTCCTGTTTCACACAGTTTCCTTCTGTAGGCCTGTGTCCTGATCTTTTCCTGCAAGGACACCAGTCATATTAGAGTAGGGCCCAGCTGTATGATCTCATAGTACCCTAGTTAGCTCTTTAAAGACCTTGTGTCCAAGTAGCAAATTCTGCGGTAATGGGGAGATTAGGACATGAGAATTTTGGGGGACACACAAACCAGGTGTCCATAACAGGGTGTCTCCTAAGGTGACCACCAGCTAATACGGGGGCTACAAAGAATGGGAGTTAGGCCAGGAAGGCTAACCCCAGACCTTGCTCTCTTCCCTCAGGGGCTGCAGGTAGCCCAGAAGGAGGCCCAGATCCGGCTCCTGGAGGGACGACTGAGGCAGACAGACATGGTGGGATCCTCCCAGAACCATCTGCTCCTGGATGCTCTGCGGGAGAAGGCAGAGACGCACCCCGAGCTGCAGGCCCTCATCTACAATGTACAGCAGGGTACGTGTAGGTGTGGCGAAGGGCTCAGGCCTCCCCAGGCTCCTTGTTTCTGACCCTAGGTGGAGGGGCAGTCACCTCTCCAAAACTCCCCAGAAGCACTGGGCTAATCCCAGTGGCGAGACAGGGGCAGGAGCCCATTGCCTCTTCCCCACACTCCGTGGGGTCTCAAGCCCTCTCCCTTCCTTCCTCCCAGAGAATGGCTACGCCAGCACCGACGAGGAGGTTTCCGAGTTCTCTGAGGGCAGGTGAGTCCCAGCTGGGATTCGGACTGGGGGACCTGAGCTGCCATAAGGTCCCTGGGCTGAGCATGGATTTGGGGGCCCTTTGGGACTCACAAGTCTTAAGACCCAGAGAACCAGAGAAGAAGCTATTGGGATCCTAAATTTTCTGTTTCTTCCTCAGCTTCTCCCAGTCTTTCACCATGAAAGGCTCCACCAGCCACGATGACTTCAAGTTCAAGGTAAGCTCTGCTGGAGCTGGAGCCTCCCACAGCCTGGCCCCCACCTTACTTACCCTGACCCCAACCTCGGCCCTGACATGGCTGTAGCTGGGGTGGAGGTGCCTAAAAGGATCTAATCTGGAGTTGCAGGAGCACCCAGATGTGTAACCTGGTACAGCTGGTTCTTTTGAGATGGAAGGAAGCCACTGCCGGCCTGTTTCCTAGCACCATCACCGTATCCAGACACCCCACTTATCACCCAGGACTCTGCCTCAAGTCAAAGCCTAACTCTCTGTACCTAGTTATTTTTCCTGCAGATAGTTGGTTTAACAGTATGGGAATCAGGGCCGGGGATGTAGCTCGGTGGCACTGTGCCTGCCTTGCAGGTACAAGGTCCTAAGTTCAATCCCTGGTACCAAAAAAAAAAAAAAAAAAGGA